TGTGTTGCACTGGAAGTGCACCTGACAGAGAACGGTTGTTTGGTGACTGTCCTCGGCTCCCGCAGACTCCTGTGATCAGCTTGGTCATTTGCTCACCATTCCACAGCGAGTGCAGGGTGCAGAACGGTCCCTCTGGAGGGTTGTTTGCTGCTGGAACACATCAATGGTGTCTTCGCCTTCCATCTCCAGCTGTGCTGGAGTGTCTGTTTCATTAATGGGTTGCCCATCAAACCTGAATCTAATCTGTCTCATTGACAAGCCCTGCCTCTCACAGTAGGCCTTCATCAGCTTGCTCAACGGGGTATGCCTCTTGATCTTGAACTGCACCACTGAGCCATCCTGCCCCGCCACCTTTAGGTTGATGTGGTCATTCTCAGTCTTCACGCCTTCCTTGGGCTTCTCCTCAGACATGGTTGCTCGGTGGTGGCAGTGGTGGCTGGCGACAGGCGGCGGAAGTGCAGTACAGAGCGGGCAAGTCACACTCTCGGCCCCGCCGCTCTCCGGCCGCAACTGCTCGCCGGGCCGCTCTATGTAAACTTTAAAACATTTATTAAACTTAACTGAAATATAGCTGCCATTTCTTATATTCTTTTGAACATACATCATGCTGTTCTGAGGAGCAGAGCCACCAACAAGCATAACCACCTCTGATCATGTTGGTAACACACATACTGACTGAGTGGCTTATGCTACTTTCTATAACTCAGTTTCAAAAATGTAGTGGACATGGCCTGTTAAAAGCAATAAAAATGTAAATGAGCTGTGGTCAGTGATACAAAATAAAACGTGAAGCTTAAATTAATCCCCAAAATATCCTTGAAAGGAACAGAATGTGAGGAGAACAGACAAGTTGATCCAAACTTAGAAAGTCAGGCCGGCCTGCGGCCAGGGCTTGCAGGCTCCAAGCACCGTCTGTCCTCCGCCGAGCAGCAGTGTGGGACTCTGAGGGGATTAGCCCTGTTCAAAAGGGAAAGAGGATGCCAGCTCCTCCCTGTGCTTCTGCTTCCCAAAACCACTTGTGGGATTTATGCATATGATTATAGAAATAAATTGTTACTTCATGTTCTTTGTTCAAACCATTATTGGGAGGGTCACATAATGTGAGGACTTTAGTACTTCAAGAAGGAGACTTGGAACTAATGGGGTCTATATTACTATGTTACTTATGTTTGGAATATGCCCATGTTTCAAATTCATGCATTCAGCAGGAGTTTCTTATAAACAAAGCAGCATACTGTATTTTTCTACCATCTCTAATTCTACCTGTCATCTATCTATCTATCTAATCTAATCTAATCTAATCTAATCTAATCTAATCTATCTTCTATCTATCATCTATCTTCTGTATCTATCATCTATTCCAAAATAGGGAAGTATCTGCATCTATGGAAAAGAAGAATGTTCAAGATAAAAGAAAAAAAATGATGCAAGCTGCACTTGAAATAAAACCAACTACCAGTATTTTCAAAGGAGAAAAAGACATCTTGCTTAACAAATTTAGCAACATTCAAAAACGTGTACTACCAGAAGTCCCTCAAAGCCATGGCTTGGACGAATGTGCAAAGGAATGTGAATGGCCCATGCCCCTTTCTTCCTGCCTGCCCTTTTGTTGTCTCTGTAATAGACATTAAGAAAAAGATTGGGCTCAGGTGTTTGTTTTTGAGGGTCAATATACAAATAATTTGATGAAGATTAATTCATGTTCCCCAGGCCTGGCTCATACAAATTATGAAGGAAATAATTGTTGAGCAGTGAAGGAATAAGAGGTAGGTAAAAGACACACATACATAGTAAGGGCTTCTGTAGACGCTAAACTGCCTCCTTCAGGAGGCTGAAGTCCCAGCTCTGAACACTTATTAAGTAAGTGTTAGATTCCAATGTATTTTGAAAAAGGCATACTTCACAAGGTAAAAGCTGATTTTAATTTCTTGAATTATTTAATATTTATCAAAGCCTTTATTATTACATTTTTCTTTCTTTTCTTAAAACAAGCTTTGACAAATTTCCTAAAATTATTTCCAATGAAGAATTTTTTTTTTTTGTATTTTTTAGGGACGGGTCTACAGGGTGTTCAGGGTCTCACTACTAGATCAGACTCGTAGTGATCCACCTGTTTACAGCCTCCCAAGAGCTGGGATTACAGGCGCGCGCCACCATGCCCAGTTTCAGTCATCATCTCAGTGTGCCCTGGGGGTGGGGCCAGCACAGCGGGCCGGGGATTGAACGCCAAGCCCCTGCTCCTGCTTGTAGGCGCTTTAATCTGCAGAGCTATTTGGCTGTCCTCAATGAGGAAATTTTGAAAGAATTATTTCTCATTAAAAAATCAATATAATTATGTGGAACATTTTTTGAAAAATGACTAATGAGGAAAGTCAAATCTTTACTTTTTTAAAAAATTTTTTTAAACATTTATTTGTGTGTGTGTGTGTGTGTGTGTGTGTGTGTGGCCAGCTCAGCCCACCTGGGGGCAGGGCTGGCTGGCATGTGGGGCTGGGGGATCGAACCACGGTCCCTGTGCTTTGCCAAACTTGTTCCAAGTAGGTGCTTTAGACCACTGAGCCATCTCACCAGCCAAATCATTACTTTTTAATAAGTAGTTTAAAATGTTAAAAAAATATATATATAATCTGTTACAAAATGCTAGATCCAAACATGCCCCATATCAATGTCCTAGCATATGCTGATATAAAATAAAATGACATAAGAAAAAATTTAAAATATCTCTAAATGCCTCAAGCTAATAAATTTACAGTAAGCCCAGAAGAAATGATGGCTCAGGAGGAAAAAGAGCGTGGAAGAAAATTATCTTCAGATTTTTTTTTGGTTCCTTAAAATGGAAGGCCATGGTCAAACCTTAGAGCTAGGAATATGGGAAAAGCAGTATCTTCTGAGACTCTGCTGAGCGTTTCCTTCGCGCGCTCCCATCTTACTGGTCCACCTTTCTGTGTCTATGGATCTGTTATGATCTCAGTCATTTATTCAGAGAATCTTAGCATTCAATAGGGTTTTTTGTTTTTGTTTTTGTTTTGTTTTGTTTTTTTAGGACCTGCGAGACAGCTGAGAGGTCTAAAATGTCTCCTTAGGCAAGCTTAGGCAAGCATACTGGCCGCGGTTGGGTCCCCACAACCACACGCTGTGCCAGCCCCAACCCCAGGGCTTTAAATACTGCCTAGAGTGCTTTTATCTGATGTCTTAGGAACTGGAATTTATTTAGTGAATTAAAAGAAAAAGCAAGAAATCACACTTAACAGGGTAATTTTTCAAAATAAATATGTATTTTTTCTTTTCTTTTTGCCATACTGGGAATTTAAAGTAGGACCTTATGCATGCTAGACAAGTACTATGTCACTGAGTTGCCTCTCAAGCACTTTATTTTATTTTATTTATTTATTTTTTGGCGGAACCAGGGATTGAACTCAGGCCCTTGTACTTGCTGGCAAGCGCTTATTCTACTAAGCCATCGCCCTGGCCCATATGTTTCTAAAGTATATAACTTTTACATAATGACTGAAAATCTTCGATATTTCCAACTATACTACATCATATCAAGCTAAACTTGGTTTCAGAATAATGGATAACATTTCTGGAGAGCTTGATGTGTGCTAAGCTCTATAAACATTACTTAATTCTCTGAGACAGGTAATGTTCTTATCCCTGCTAAAAACTCATTTTCAAAAAAGATTAAATCATGTCTGTCATGAAGATGTAAAAATGAAGATGCATTAAAGGATTTATTCTATTTGTGAATCTGGGAGAGAACCAGGCAGGTACTACAACTGATTTAATAGAGAATCCAACGCACAAACACCTGTGTCAGTCAGAGATATTGAAATAAATGTACAAATAGGGGAGAAACCACTTTTGGGGACAAGAAGTTTAAAAAGTCAATTAATCTTCTACTTAACTGGAAAGAATCTGCATATCTAACAAGAAGACTTATTTTGCATTGATGTCAATTTTTTTAGATCTTACACAGTTGTAAGAGAGTTCCTGTGGATCAGAATAAGACAGCGTTAAGGAGCATCCAGTGAGTAATGTGTAATTTTCCACCCAAGTGTAACTTTTTTTTTCTTAAAATTCCATTTCATAAATGGTGAAATTAAAGTTCACAAAGGACAAGTTTTCCGATAGCTTATGTTCAATGGTAGGGAAATTTACTTTCAATTGAAGAGGTGGCTATCAGAGTGTGACAGCGCAAGATGTGTGAAGTGCCCAGAGACCCTGGAGATGCATTGCTTCTGTTAGTTGTGGAGAAACTAGGAGACAAGCAGAACTGCCACTTAGTCACAGTTTGACGTGATCCCCTGACAATAGGAATTCCTCCCTGATGCATGCCATTTTAGGTGAAAAAAATATATGCACACACAATATGAATGGTGCCAGAGCACAGTCCTATTGTTCTTAGTTTTACTTCAGTAGATAGTGAGGGGAAGAATTTAGGATGCAGACAAAGAAAAAAGGATCAAAAGGTCACAGTGAACATGTAGTCCAGAGAACTCTCTGGTATAATGTTTGTTGCCACTTTGTTTTCTGACTCTGCAAGTCATGATAGACAACAAGCCTCGTTACATAACCTCGTGTCATCCCTGCTTGGAAGAGAGAGAGAGAGAGATAGGGTCAGGCTTGTGTTCCTGGTGCTTTGTAGGTTGTCTCAAGTCTGAGCAGTTGCTTAGACATTTCTTAACCCTGCCTCTTGCCAGAACCTAGGAGCATTAAATTAGTCCAAAATGAGCACTAAGGTGGCTGGGGTTTGATCCCCAGCATGCTGTGCCAGTCCCACCCCAGGGGTGCACTGAGACTGTGACCAAGACTGGGCATGGTGGCACATGCATGTAATCTCAGCTTTTAAGAGGCTGAAAACAAGAGAATCACTACAAGTCTGATCTCTGTAGTGAGACTCTGTAGGACCTATAGACCTTGTACTAAATACATAAAAACATAAAAAAATGAAAGAATATGAAAGGGAATTGACATAAGATACATTCTAGAGGCAAACCAAGTGACAGAGCCCATGTTCAAACACAGATTTGTCTCATGCCAGATCCTATTGCTTTACTACACTGTTTCCTCAAAAGGTTGGATGCAAGAGGTACAAAGTGACTGCTATACTGTCTCCAGTGTTACTTACCTGAGTCATTCACTGAGACCAGCACTGACAATGTTTGGTGACAGTCTCTGTCGTGTGCTGTCACTACAAGAGCAGAAATTCCCCCATAAGGGCTGGAGAGACAGCTCAGTGGACTAAGTGCCTACTTAGGCAAGCACAGGGCCTGGGGTTTGGTCCCCAGCACCACATGCTGTGCTGGGCCCACCTCCAGGAGCGCTGAGCCAGGCACTGAGACTGGGTGTGATGGTGCATGTCTGTAATCCCAGCATTGAGAAGGCTGAAAACAGGAGGATCACTATGAGTCTGATATACGTAGTAAGACCATATATCAAATACATAAAAAAGAAAGTAAAAAAATTCCCACATACCCTTAGCA